TATTTTCAACACTTTATTGAAAACGAAGGCACTGATGAAAATTATGAAGCAGGTTAAACATGAAAAAAATATAACTCAGTACTCACTGCAGTGAGTCACAGAGAGCGCATTTTCTCGTCGACGAAAGCGTGAAGTCACGGACGGACGGACGGACAGACAGACAGACGGACGGGCGGAGGATATTACGAGCACAATAGCGCCTTCTTTCCATATATAGAAAATGCGCTAAAAATCATGCGAAATTGAGAATTTTTTTTTCATAATTCCTTGCACCAAAGATGTGCAAGACAGACAAACGGACGGATATGACGAGCACAATAGCGCCTTTTCTCCATAAATGAGGAAATGCGCTAAAAATAGCCAAGGATTGAACCAAGCGAATGGTAAGAACTTAATCTTATTACTCATAATAGTGAATTAATGAGAATCTGATCACTTAATTAACAAACTTAACAAGATCCGGCGATGGTACTTTAATAACCAATTCATTCCTGCCAATATAATCACATAATTCACAATTATCTCAAAAAAAATTACAAACTTTAGGAAAACACAAGCATTAAACATAAAAAAAAGCTACGACAACAGTGAAGCGCAAGGTGCTTGACAGATTTGAAAGTAACGAGTGTCGAAAGACTCTGTCGATTAGAATTTATCTCTAAATGAAAATACTAGTAAACCGAAAGATGATACATTAATGCAAACAAAGACAAATTTATCAGCGAGAATATAAGAAATAACTGTTCGAATGGTCACAAAAATGTTTCGGAAAATTACGATACAATTATAACGATGCATGAAGGGCGGCTACATCAGTTAAATAATGTTCAGGAATAAGTTAACGATATCTATTGATATGGATAAAAAAAATTCATGATATATATTCCATGAACTTGTCTGTCTGGATGTTCTCGCGCCAGGAACAGAATATGATCCCATAAATATTATTTAATGGTTTTAGTGTAGATACAATTTGTATAATTTAGCAAAGCATCATATGTCAGAAGTGTGAGCGTTTCTTGAGTTAGCGATGATCGGTCGTCTGAAAAACATTATTTACAAACACAAATTCTCAGTTCACATCTTCTTTGAGCTCACCAACATCAACAGAAGTATACAAACATGTAGCAAATATTCATATACATATAATAAAAATATTTTATTTCGTCTTCCTCCTAGTGCCCATTGTAAGGAATAAATTGAAGCATGAAACAATCATTTACATGGAAAGTACAGAATATTTTATATCGTTCTTCTTCACGGTGACCATTGTAACACCTGAATTTCTTCATCCACAGAAGTCCAGAATTCCGTCCGATGTCTCAAATGTTCGGGCAGACAACTTCTCGATGGTTATCTGCACCACCGGAATAAAAAAAAAATATAACTCTCTTTCACTGCAGTGAGTGACAGAGAGCGCATTTTCTCGTCGACGAAAACGTGGTCACGGACGGACGGACAGTCAAACGGACAGACAGATGGACGGAAATGACGAGCACAATAGCGCATTTTTTCCATAAATGAGAAAATGCTCTAAAAATATAACTCAGTACTCACTGCAGTGAGTGACAGAGAGCGCATTTTCTCGTCGACGAAAACGTGAAATCACGGACGGACAGACAGACGGACGGACATGACGGGCACAATAGCGCATTTTTTCCATAAATGATAAAATGCGCTAAAAATGTTAGGAAATTCGGTCGTTTACCCTTGGGTGCGTAGAGCCAGAATTCCGTCCGCTGTCTCACATGTTCAGGCGGACATCTCGATTGATATCTGCACCACCGGAATAATGTGTTTTATTCCACCGGAATAAAAAAAATGTTAAGAAATTCGGCCGTTTGCCCATGGGAGCGTGGAGCGGCGTTGCAGCAGTCGTTCAGTTCCGTCGACTGGAATATCTGCCCGGTCCAGGGACGTCTTCTGGAGCTCCCGAGGATACGCGGACACTTATCTCGAATTTTTTCTCAAAAACTTTTCAGCAATTTTAGATATGAAGTAAATCATAACTTAGGTTATCCGGTTTTTTGACAAAACCGTCGAGGATATATGCAAAAATATAAATAATGCTAATTTGTTTATTTGTGTCTGACTTTCATACAGAAATTACGAATCAGGTGGATGAGTACACATGTGTATATTAAATTTTGATTTTTTTTCTGGCTGATACGATAGCAAAGCATGACAAGTAAAACAAAAAATAAAAAACGAAGGCACTTATGAAAATTATGAAGTTATGAAAATTATTAAAAATTATAAACATGAGAAATAGAACCAAGGATAGAACAATACCTATGTTTTTAAGAACAACAATAAGAACAATTAAGAACAATGCTTTTAAACGATAACCGGATTTGAGAAAGACGAAAATGTTAACATGGTTGAAAATTTTCAAATGCGATCGTTCATTATAAATAACATTAACTACTATTATCAATATTTGTATCTATTGCCACAAATAAAAACCCTGCGACGTTCGGTCAAATAAATGCCTTGGATGATTCTTAAGAATTATTAATTGAATACAAAATTTATTTTTGTCAACGATACTTTTGTGAACATTCACTAGGCAATGCATTATTGTTGATGTAAAACTTAGTTCTTCTCAACTAGAAGGACGATAGTCTGAGGTCTCAAAGCGAAAAAAATTCCATGTGGGTACAGCTTGTTATTGGATTAAAGTAGGAATAAATCTAAGATTTATTATTATTTTTTTAAATTCAAAGCATTATTTTTTAAAGAATTCGAAATAATTTTGTTGCTTATTGCTATTTTTTGATAAATTTCTGATTTTGTGCTGGAGTGAAGTATCGATAAACTCGATATCGCTATCAAGATAAATATTTTTCTATTAAAGAATCTTATAAGTGTTTATCATGAAATGTCAGAAAACCGTTAAAAAATATTAAAAAAAATATTTTGTGTTTCCTATAAATTTCAGTTTGAAGACCCAATGAGACACAGAACAATTTTGCCGAGCTGACTTTTGAAAGGTATCGTTTGGAGAGGCTGACATCAGCCAAAGTTGTTATATACAATATTAGCAAAATCATTGTTAAAAAATAATTAGGTAATAAAAGTTATTGTCAATATTTGTATTCGATTAAAATTTTTGGTTTGATGTGGTGCTTGTCAAAATCAGTGCTATTATTAGGGTTGAAAGATAGGAATAAGTGCAAAAATGACTATAGTAATTATGTTGCCATTATATTCCTTGGTGAACAATTAAATTATTTAATTTCGTTGTGAAATGTCTTATTACGTTATAATGATCTGTTATAATATTTATACAGAGTGTGACTTGATCTCACTTTTGTTAAAAATTCATAATTAGTTTTACAAAAGAAGACAGGATCATTTGTAAGCACAAACGCTCACTATATACTTTTTACAATGGCTATAATTTTAATATCGAGCAATTTTTGTACAATAAATTCAGTTTGCAGCTTTTCATGAACTATTGAAGAGCATGTCAAAGTAGAATGATGAATGAGACAAGAGTTAAAACTGAAGGCCATGTAAGCAGATGGTAATAATTTTTCAATGGAGAACGTCCGTCACGTATGTTACACATCATGCATGGCATTCATCTGAAGCCTCCAACCAAGGGCATTTTTGAACAGAAGGTTATCGTTCAAGTAGAGAATATACATCATTCTGCATGTATAGATCTTTGCAGTAAAAATAATTCACAACACACCTGTGCACTCTGCGCACCTGTAGACGCTCACTTCATTATTCGTTGACCTTCACAACACTAACATTTATGTTACATAGAACACAGCAAGCTGGATGCAGTGTAGAGACCGACGATGCATATGCAGGTTCTTATATAGTTACAGTGCCTGGTAGGATCTTGATGTTTGGTTGCGATGACTGATAGGATTTTGATGCATTAGTTACGATGTATGATGTATAGATTTTGATGATATTGCAACTTTGTCTGATTACATTACGATGATGTGGTCTCAGTGTCTGTAGAGGTTTTGATTCTTGGATCATGCAGCCTGATCAATAGGATTTTAATTATCTGCCCACGGTGCCAGATAATATTTTGATACCTGAACGCAATCGTTCAAAAACATCGAAGTATAAATTGATTGCCAGGCTATAAGAAGACACTTGGTCTTAGGTGCGATAAAAAATTCTAAACTGTAAAAACTTGAAGCGATTAACAGATGCATTATATGTAAATAGAACTAAAAAACGGCAGTTGTGTTTCTTCATGACTTATATAAAAAAAAGATCCCACTTATGTGGGACCAATAACATAAGTTATTGGTCCCACATAACTGGAACCAATAACTCCGTGTATTGGTCAGTAGAAGGACAACCTAATTTATTTGATACGCCATTATTCATGTTAGTAAATTCCACAGGTAGCGGTCCCGCCATTACATTGCTGGAATGAAACCAGAATTGTGGTCAAAAAAAAGCTGCCTAAGGAAAGTTCAATAATTCGAATGCTGGCTTATGTTTCTGAGCTGATCCATTAAAAAGTAAAATGATAACTACTAATTTATATGGACGTAGCACAAACTAATTAAACTAAAATTCCATTTCTCATTGGTTGAAGGATGACGTATAAAGTTCCAATTTTGAGTCTTCCTGAACATTGAAAACATTCCTGAACATTGAAAATTGCAAGTGTTTCCAAAAACTTTTCAGAAGTTTATTTTTTCAGTTTCGTTGAACTATAGATCACGGTAATTCTAGCTTCACGTTGGTTGCGTCATGATTTACTTGTCTTTAAGTTTTATTCTGCGGCAAATTGGCCAGCAAAAAAAATGCAACTTCTAAAATAAGTTTTTTTTCGTTTCGTAATTAAATTACCTAATGTTGTATATTTATTGTCAATTAACATGTATAATATTTATTTTAACGAATGTTTGTTTTTTTATTCTTAACTATCAATCATCAAGCTACGTTGCTGCAAGTTGATAAAATAATTTAGCATTGAAAAAAATGGTTTTCAGTTTTTATTTACAGGTTTACTTTAAAATTTTCTTTATTTTGTTTTCAGAGAAACTTGCTAGATTATTGTACGTCTTTTTGCCTGTCACCTTCTCAACCATGACGACTATGTTGGCTTTCATAGTAGCAGTGGTTGCGGGGAGTTCAAAATGTGCATATAGGCAGTTGAGTGGACTTGTTTATTTAGTTTACTTGGGATACATTATTATGGCGCCGAATCAAGCTTAAAAACAAATGATACAAAGTTTCATTTAAGTGTAATAATCGTTTAATAGCCACTTCGAAATTTCAAATTTAAGTGTTGCAAAACAACAATTTTGTAAACATGAATATAAAATTTTAGAAACGTCGTATTCTATTAAAATGTTATTCGTTAACCTACTGTTGATCTTTCAGTGTCAACAAGAAATTTTTTCGTCTCAATGGAAAAAAATGAACAAATGAGGTGGCACATAGAAGGTGGTACATCAGCATGGCCGTGTGATGAGGTGGCACATAGAAGGTGGTACATCAGCATGGCCGTGTGAAGGCTCAAAATGGTGAAAATCACACGTTTCGCAGTTCAGCTCTATTGTCAGTTCGACAATACTAGATTGTAAGCACAATAAATAAGTAAACCAAAATTCACAACTGCGATTTCAAACTTTCGAATTTTATAATGCTTATTTATTTTCAAGCTGAAGTCTTAAATGGCGCCATCAGTTCGTATTATCTGGAAACTGTAAATTGATAAGGCAGCCTGCTTGAGGTTATTCAAGTTCATTATTCTTTTAGTTGCCAGTTAGTCTTTTAATATTTGAAATTTGCATTTTGGTATCCTATTATTGATTGTACTTGCATTTTCGGTTTCGGCATTTTGTACTTGCATTTTATTATTGATTGTACTCCATCATCAGTTTGCATTTGCAAACTGATGATGGAGTTGGACTCGGAAACTTATTCTTCAATCAAGAAATGGTGAATTTTTACGCAATTTATTGGTTATAAGAACTCGATATTCAGAATAAAAAATGAGGAAACGCGCAATAGGGCTATATAGTGCAACTACAATAGAATAATACACTTTAATTAAACGATTCACTTTAATTAATTAATTTCATTAATTATCTATTATTATTGTTTTATTTCTATAATTCTATTATGTGAATTATTCAATTAATTAGGTAATTAATTCTAATTTCTCATGACCAGCTGCTGGGTGTCTCAACAGGGCTCGCTGTGCCAGAAATGAAGAGTGCTCTTGTACCGCAGCCTCAACCGCTTGACGACAGCCGGGCAGACGTGAAGCTTGTTTCAATTCCCATGTAAGTTCTGGAGCTACAGTTATGAAACTATACGATGTTGAAATTTAGCACAAGCAATGGGGAAATTCGGCATTGGTTAATTTGGTTCGGTATAATAGATTAAAATTGGAAAACTAGTTCATTTCACATTATGTGATGATTAGATGTTATGATGACATACTCAGTGAATATGAAATATTATGGCAGAGATAAAATGGTGCCAGGTAAGGAAAATGTATTTTTGCATTAAATGCATCAGATTTTTATGCACTTGATCCACTAATCGCATACTAGAAACAATTAAACAATTAAACAATTCCGAGAACCACAAGGGGAATTTACTAAGTCGCTTAGCAAACAACTGTCCAGAAGCCAATATCTCGATGTAATATCCATCTAAGAATCTCAGCGATGTGGCAGAAATTTGTCAATGACAACTGCCGTTTTAAGTTATATTTTATATACACGCAGCGTAAAATGCACCATAATATCGAGGTTAATACGACAGTTGTTTATACTGTATCAGTAAGATTACAAATATTACCTGCCAATAATTTTTTATGCTGTTAAAAATGTCCAGCCTCCTTTGTATGACCTCATATCAAGTATTATTAAAACATTTTCTTTTAACAGTCGGGTTTTGGCTTAAAAAAAGTATAAGCGGTTATAACCTGAAGCTCGGCAGTTTTTTTATTTACATTTGAACACATCGTTTCTAAATAGTTACTACAAATATTATTTCAGTTTAATCCACTAGAGTCAGTTCCTAGGTGGCCACATCTACCATGAGAAATGCTGTACCTATACTTTCCCAGGTGCCCACCGATACCACACTACATGCTGTACACTCTTCCACAGGTGCCCACCGATACCATCCTACATGCTGTACCCACTTTCCAGGTGTCCACCTATTCCTTACTACATACTGTACCGAATTCCCTAGGTTACAAGCCGATTCCATTCTACATGCTGTACCTACTCTCCCATGTGCCCACCGATAGATACCATAAGAAAAGTTTTAACAAATTCTCAAGCTAGGTGCCTACCGATGTCATACTACATGCTGTATCCACTTCCCAGGTGCCCACCGATGCCATAAGAAATGTTGTACCCAATTCTGCAGGTGCCCCCTGGTAACAGGCATCCAGCTAGACGTAATTAAGCCATGCATCGCCCGGTCGTCCGGTCTCTGTATGGATGACATGGATTGTGATGGTGAACAGGTTTGCTGTCCTGCGGACGACTGCGGCAACAAGCAGTGCGTTAAGAAGAAGAAACTGACGCCACCATCGCATGGATGAAAGTGAATTGGACATGTGAGTTTTCTGAGCACCTGCATCTAAAAATGTAATGCCTCTTAGTTGATACCTAAGCAGTGTGTTGTAGTAGAAGTTGAGCAGTGTCATTGCAGTGTCGTTGCAGTGTCATTGCAGTGTCGTTGCGGTGTTGCTGCAGTGTAATTGCAGTGTCATTGCAGTGTCGTTGCAGTGTAATTGCAGTGTCATTGCAGTGTCGTTGCAGTGTTGCTGCAGTGCCATGGACTCTGAGGCGAGATTCATGTCCTCGCTACGGTATCCTGTTGATTGCATGCGAGAGCAAACACATACAGAGCGTTAAAGGCAAAGATCTTGAATTGAAGAGCGTGGCTTGGCCGCTCAGCTTTGATAATAATTTTAGGAAGATTATAGATGGCCGAACATGAGCCTATGACTGGCCACCGATTAATCTACGAAGATTTTTTATAAAGGTACATTTGATGTCTGAACTGGTGGTGTCTGAGATCGCTTGTCTTGTTTACACTCGCGAGACTAGGCTAGGATTATCTGAGCGATGGTAGAGTCGAAGGGAAATTTAAAACTGTATGGATTTTTGGTTAGAAAACTGTGTAAATAGGAACCTGGCTGTTTATAAAAACGCGTTGGTCTCTGACTTGTTTACATAGAGCATAAGGCGAAGTAAAAGGTGTGTGTTTTTTATTCTTAGAGTGCATCTACATTCGAAAATTCTTCAAATTGGAGCAAGAAGTTTATACAAAAAGATCATTTCTTTTAATAACAAATAAATTCAGGTTAATCTACTGTACATCGTCGACTATTTGATTATTCGCCGACAGAAATATTTTAAAGCGTTAAGAGTTGCAGCTGGTTGATAATGAATATCAGCTTGCTGAGGAAACCGGAATAAATAATAGCAACGAGATATGCATAAGTTTCTCACTTACTAAATGAGTATCAACACTGTCGAGACAATAATCAATAATACATATCGGCTAATTTAATTCAATATTATTAGAACTTATTATTAAATAGAATTGCTTCGTTTAAGTGTTTAGCCAAGTTTGCTAACGTCGGAACTGTTAGAGCAGTTTTCCGTTTCGCCTCTTCCGTTTAAATAAAAGTCCATTGCTTTCTCTGTCGGTGGTTTGTATGACATTCAACAGTCATCCTTCATTCATTCACTACAGACCGTACGCACGCAGCAAATGACATCACTATTCTCACTTTTTGTTAGTTCATACATCACATAATGCATAAACCATTAATTGTTTTCCAGCAAAAAACCTCGCTTTTTCTGGCTTTTGGTTACTCTGGATTAGATTACTAAACGAGTTGGATTGCCTCGTTTTTGTCGTCCATTTCCCTTGGCACATTATATTTAATATTACAGTAACAGTTCATTGGTGATATTAGCATTTTTTGGATGGATAGATTGGACATAAGCCGTTATAGTTGTAGCTAAAAACGCTGCCGCAATTCAGAAAAATTTACTGACTTCACTCAGTGATACGTTGAATTATGTGAGCTTCTTAAAATTCCGTTATTTTCATTAATTATTGTCTAAAAAGNATTTGGCATTTCAAATCAACCCAGAAATCTCAAAACGAAATGTTTATTTCGTAACGTCAATGTTTGGGCTATGACGCTACTGGTGGAAAATTGAAGCGCGGAGCTGCGGTGCTGTCTCTTATACACATCTAGATGTGTATAAGAGACAGGAATGAGATCCATTGACACAGTACACGAATTTTTAGGTTTAAATAAGTCCCAATCGAATGGAAAAATTCGAATTTAACACAAATCCGCCGCAAAAGTTTATTATCCCTTTACATGAACTCATAATTTGAAATGAATAATTAATTTTTTTTCCAAACTCCTATCCTTAAATTCGACGAGAGGCAGCAGCTTAACGAACGTCACCATATTAATAATCGTTAAATGTGTTACAGGAATTTGGTGTATCGTAACAACGCAATCCTGGGACGTGACAAACAATTTGTTAATTAATAGAAAATCTTAAACCTACCAACGAATTAAAGGTTTATAAAAAATTATGATGTTAGCATCACTCCTCTCTTCGGAATGATGATCTAAAAGATAATGTCTGCCGCTCTACTGGTCCGAATTTAATCTCTTACGGAAATTATGGCCCACTGGTGTATTTTCTTCCAAATGTTCAAGTTCTTGACATAATGGGGTGAAGTAAGTGATTGAGAGCGCTCTACTGTGATTAGTGAGACAGCGCCTCGACAGGACATCAAATAAATTCTGAATTAAACTTGCGATGGCAAGTTCTTGTCACCTAAAGATTAATGGTTAATAGGCCTAAAACGGAGAGAAGTTCCAGTGTTTTAGCTTTGAATCAAGTAGATTTTGAGTCAATGGAATCCAAGGTGTAGGCAGTGACGGGCTAAAGAGGATAGGAGAATGTCAAATTTTTGTCTTGTTTCTATCTTTGACGCTCCAAAGATGTCAAGAAATATAGAAACTGCGAACACAGCGTCATGGAAGCCTCTCTTGTTATTGCCGCTATGTGCATAATAATACGAATCGTGCATAATAACCACTATCAAGCAGGTTTCATTGAAGACCAGAGAATTTGTTTTATTCGCAATTTTCTTATTAGTTATTATTATTTTCTTATTAGTTAATAAAAAAATTTCGAATAAAACAAATTCTCTGGTCTTCAATGAAACCTGCTTGAAAGAAGAAATTCTGCCAACCTATACTAATAACCACAATGTGCATAGGGCTAACTTCACCTGTCAGTGCTTAATTGATGACTCGCCTGTGAGTACAATATTACAAGCACATTGTTCAGATGCTCCGTATTATTTCCCGTGTGAACACTCACTGGCACATTGTTCTGATGCTTCGTATTATTCTTCCGTGTGAACTCTCACTAACACATTGTTCAGATGCTTCGTATTATTCTCCCGTGTGAACTCTCACTAGCAAATTGTTCAGATGCTTCGTATTATTTCCCGTGTGAACACTCACTGGCACATTGTTCTGATGCTTCGTATTATTCTTCCGTGTGAACTCTCACTAGCACATTGTTCAGATGCTTCGTATTATTCTTCCGTGTGAACTCTCACTAGCACATTGTTCAGATGCTTCGTATTATTCTCCCGTGTGAACTCTCACTAGCACATTGTTCAGATGCTTCGTATTATTCTCCCGTGTGAACTCTCACTAGCACATTGTTCAGATGCTTCGTATTATTTTCCCGTGTGAACTCTCACTAGCACAGTGTTCAGATACTTCGTATTATTCTTCCGTGTAAACCGTTGCTAGTTGCTGCGATTACTGCGCATCACACCATGAGTGGATGGTGCGGTGTTGTCGCAGTGTCACTGCAATGTTGCTGCACTGCCAACGCAGTGTCACTGCAATGTTGCTGCACTGCCAACGCAGTGTCACTGCAGTGTTGCTACACTGCCAACGCAGTGTCTCTGCAATGTTGCTGCACTGCCAACGCAGTGTCACTGCAATGTTGCTGCACTGCCAACGCAGTGTCTCTGCAATGTTGCTACACTGCCTACGCAATGTCTCTGCAATGTTGCTACACTGCCAACGCAGTGTCACTGCAATGTTGCTGCACTGCCAACGCAGTGTCTCTGCAATGTTGCTGCACTGCCAACGCAGTGTCACTGCAATGTTGCTGCACTGCCAACGCAGTGTCTCTGCAATGTTGCTACACTGCCTACGCAATGTCTCTGCAATGTTGCTACACTGCCAACGCAGTGTCACTGCAATGTTGCTGCACTGCCAACGCAGTGTCACTGCAATGTTGCTGCACTGCCAACGCAGTGTCACTGCAATGTTGCTACACTGCCAACGCAGTGTCTCTGCAATGTTGCTACACTGCCTACGCAGTGTCACTGCAATGTTGCTGCACTGCCAACGCAGTGTCACTGCAGTGTTGCTACACTGCCAACGCAGTGTCTCTGCAATGTCGTTGTGGTAGTGCAGCAATGTGGGAAAGTAAGTAATGAAGAATGTTACTCAAACACACATTGTGTTGTGACAATTGAGAATGAGAGATATGTTAGATTAATGCAACTTTGCTGCAATGCCCAGTACAGTGTCATTGCAGTGTCATTGCAGTGTCATTGCAGTGTCATTGCAGTGTCGTTGTGGTATTGCTGCAGTGTCATTGCAGTGTCATTGCAGTGTCATTGCAGTGTCATTGCAGTGTCATTGCAGTGTCATTGCAGTGTCATTGCAGTGTCATTGCAGTGTCGTTGCGGTGTTACTGCAGTGCCATGGACTCTGAGGCGAGATTCATGTCATCGCTATATAAGGTATCCTGTTGATTGTATGCGAGCAGAGCAAACACATACAGAGCGTTGAAGGCAAACATCTTGAATTGAAGAGCGTGCCTTTGCCGCTCAGCTTTGATACAAATTTTAGGAAGAATATAGATGGCCGAACATGAGCCTTTGACTGGCCACCGATTAATCTACGAAGATTTTTAATAAAGGTACATTTGATGTCTGTACTGGTGGTGTCTGAGATCGCTTGTCTTGTTTACACTCGCGAGACTCTGGCAAGGATTATCTGAGCAATGGTAAAGTCGAAGGGAAATTAAAAACTGTATGGATTTTTGGGTCGAAAACTGTGTAAATAGGAACCTGGCTGTTTATAAAAACGCGTTGGTCTCTGACTTATTTACTAGAGCTTAAGGCGAAGTAAAAGGTGTGTGTTTTTTATTCTTAAAGCGCATCTACATTCGAAAATTCTTCAAATTGTAGCAAGAAGTTTATACAAAAGGATCATTTCTTTTAATAACAAATAAATTCAGGTTAATCTATTGTACATCGTCGACTATTTGATTATTCACCGACAGAAATATTTTAAAGCGTTAAGAGTTGCAGCTGGTTGAAAATGAATATCAGCTTGAATTCAATAACAAAAACTTTCAGTCCCATTGCACAAAATTTGATGGATGCTATTTTCCTGTTCTATTATTCATACTAAACCAATGGACAATTGGGGGAAACTGAGAAAAATAATTTTAATCTTTTACATGAATGCA